CGTTCTCAGCGTCACGACGCCGAACGGCAACGCTATGGGTGGTCCCTCCGGCCTTCGGAGGGGGTCCCCGGTCGTCTGGCGGTGCGGCGGCGTTTCGGGGGAAGGGCGCAGGTTGGCCGCAAACGGAGCGCGTTTGACGAGCGCGGAATTTGCCGAGGAACGCTCAAAGTACTGGTAGGAACGACAGCCGCAGGAGACACAGCGCGTGCCAGCAATGAACGACAACGCTCCAAATGTTTTTGGTTTTTTTTTTTAAAAAAAATTATATTGTTAAGTACAGTACAAAAAAACGTTTCTTCGTGTCATTGTAATGTAATCCGGATCAAACAGCAAGGAAATAACAAAAATATAAAAACTGCTAAGTCTTGGCAAATTTTTCCCTCTAGTACCAAATACCACAAGATACAGATTATACAAAGTGTACAAATTTTAAATAAAAATACAATACACCAGGGCTGTGTGTGTTTTTTCAAACTCTTCAAGAGTTTTTCCATTGTACAGACGACGAAGCAAAAGCCGCTCTCCCCTTCTGTTCCTCAGAGAGCGGATCTGCCCCTCCACCACGATGCTCTCAACTGGAAAGAGCCAGAGATTTTGTGCCACTCCCAACAGCAGATGCTTTAGTAGGGGCCAGGATCCGAAGCGGGATTAGACTGCCACCCTCCTGGGCCCTTCCCAGTTCCAGGCTCACTGGGATTAGTCATACATTGTTAAAATACGTATGCTGTGGGCTGAGGCTTGGGTTGAGAACTTGCATGGTGGTCTGAGAACCTCCTGCACTAACTGACAGAGAAAACAACGCTGCACTGAGAAAAGCTCCGTAAGAGAAAGACTGCCTTGTACAGGCACAGCTGGGGAACACATGGCAAAGAGGAATGGGGACAAAACCCCTCCTGCACACCTGAGGATTTAACTTAAATAAGATTTGGGGCTCAGCCACAACGAGGGACAGCTCACTTTTCAACTGCCCTGAAAAACAGAAGCTAGACTTCGGACTGGAAGTATAAAAGTGCTCTTCTGTCATTTTAGAACTTTTATGTTATAAGGCTGGAAAGGCCGGAGTCAAGTTACATTTCAGTTGTTCTACCTACCTTCACAAGACAGCCTGTTTCTACAAACACTTAAAATCTTCCCGGTGTTTCCCCATACAACGCCAATGCTCACTGCTACGCATGTAGCTGATTCCTGCAGGAAGTGGGGTAAGGCAAACTTGATTCATATTTTCCACACGCTCTTGGTGGAGGGAGGGATTTTTGCTCTTAAATTATGTATATATATATATATACACACACAGAAATATACAGGATAAATTAAAATCTGTTACAGATATCGGTAAAAGTTAAATACATATGATATGAACACCACATACACGTACATACAGACACACAAAAGCCTATATGAGAATCAAGTGCTCTCCTGCGGCTCCTCTCCTAGAGGAGCAAAAAACCAAACACCAAGTATGTGGCTGGAAGGAAGGGGAATCGGTCCAATCAACCCACGTGTGCCTTACTCAGCCATAACTGCTTCAAACTGGTCATTAGTCACTGCCTCACAGCAGCACCATGGCTCTTTCAGTACTGCTGGTGAAAGGGATGGGGGATGAACGACCTCAGAAACCAAAGTTGTCGGTTCACAAAATGGGTGCAAGATGGGCAGAAGCAATCCAAGTTCTTCCCATCTGCTTCCACACTCCTTCCATCAAAGCAGGCTGACCACGCTCTGGAAAAATCAGCAGGAGGTTCATTCTCTCAAGCCAATGCTGTTGGTTGATACATCGTGCTAATGACTATTTGGGTGCAAGTCCACAAGAAAAAAGATTAAATTCATTGTCAACTTCCATTTTACTTCCAATGCCAGCTACCTGACCAGCCAGCTGACGCTGACAACTTTCAGCTACTACTGACTGAAGGCAGGAGGAGGGGGGAGGGGGTTGGAAGAAGTAACCAAGAGGCAAAGACCTCTGTATTTTTGATCAGCTATCCAGCCTCCCCCTTAAGCAGTACATTTTAAACTGAAAACCAGTTAGATACAGGGCTGGTGAAGAGTTCAGTTCTATTCCTTGGTCCAAAATTATCATCTCTACCTGCCCATAGAATATCAGAATACTTTAGGTTGGAAGGGGTATCAGGAGGTCATCTGGTCCATCCCTCTGCTTAAAGAAAGTCAAGCTATTGCGGGCTGCTCATTCAGTTTTTGAGTATCATCAAGGATGGAGAGTCAACAACCCCTCTGGGCCACCAGTTTCAATGACCCCTCTCATGGTGACATTTTTTTTTTCTTTATATCGAGAAGTCCATTCTCTGACTGCTTCCCCATCTAAAGGGTCTGAATTTAAGGCGAGTATCTCAAAAGCTTTCTGAATTCTTCATATAAAATACTTTCAGATTGGAGGAGACATTTTACCCACCAACACAAAAGGGTTTTCTCAGCTTAACTTCACAACTCTTCATAAAATAGAAGTCAAATAGTTACAATCCTATGTATATACTATACAGATATAAAACTTTAAAACCCTACACACGGAGCCCTTCAGGAGCGCCGGTGTAGTGCATCTGTACACAAGTCAGTTATGCAGAGGCTGAATGCATCCCAGGATCCTTTCCCATCAAAGTCCAGGCATGATGTAGGCGATGTTGTCTAGTGTGTTTGACTGGGAAAAGAAAGTCAGTATTTTTTAGTGTCAGGTAATGAATCAAAATCCTTAAAAAATGCCACAGATGAGGGTACTAAGCATGTACCTGTCTTACAAGTTATCATGTACTGAGACAACCAAATCTGCCTAGTCATCAACACCACTGCTAGGCTTAGTTTCACATTTTTGGAAATGTAAGTTAACTAAACATAAAGGTAGCCTCAGTATTTTTAAGCACCTAGAAACGAGGAAAATGCTTAAGGCTTTCCTCAAGTGACCTCCTCCTTACAAACCTCATACTCTATCTCTGAATTTGAAACAAGCCACATCGACCATATCACATCAACCACAGGAAAGACTAGTGATGAAGGACATGAACAAAATGATCAAAGTTGCAGCATATAAAAAAAACCAACTTAAGTTTACACTCACAAGTCCTCGATGAAATTAGGTAGTGTAAAAGTAAAAAGAAAAAACCTTAAACACACCCACTGATAGGGGGTGAGATGGCAAAAAGAAGTGCCCTCCAGTTTTCCTTGCAAAACGTAACAGAATTCTGAGAGTTAAAGAGTCTTTCTCGTACATACCAGAAAACAAGACCCCACAGTATATTATCTCTATGTTCTTCAAATGCAGTATTTCGGTATGCTCAAGCCTGTGGCTCGATGGCTGAAGAAGGCCTTAGGAATACCACCTGTTAATTTCTGAAGACAGAGGAGCTGGAGCCGCACCAGCTGAGATTCTAGAATTTAGCAATGCCACCTACTGACTGAAAAGATAAATTGCATTCTACACGCAGCAGGACTACTGACAATTTTCTCTGTGTCTTAAAACACCACTGTTGTTATGTATCTGACAGTAAAAATCAGAACAATTTATTTATTATCAAGTCTGAATACCAGTTTTCAGAAGTGAAGGGTAAGTCTCTTAATCCACCTAAAGCTCCATTGCCCCTTACAACAATAAGTTGATCAAGTTTCCGATATACGCACCGTTAGTCATGTGGTGTCATTGCTCTGAATGCACTTGGCAAGCAAGAAGGAAAAAAAGCATAGGATGTTTTTCCATGGCTTAGGATGGGAACACCCTGCTGACTCAGCTTTTGTGCAGCCAGCCAGTTTGTGGGAGCTCACAAGCTCACAGCCTAAGCTGTCAACTTTGCTGTTGTTAACAGTCCATTCTCAGAATAAACCAATGTTTGGGCTGCCCTATTATAACATGCCAATTCCTATCCCATTTTTGTTGTTCTCTCTGCCAGATTCATTTTTAATCTCTTTTGCGGACTATATGTTTATTTTTCATTTCTGCTTCTCTCCTCTGCTTTATTCATGTTTCCTGTTGGAGGTACGACTCCCGATTCCTTTTACACTGCTGACATCTTAATCTATTTCCACATCATGCTACACAGAAGCCATAAGCTCTTGGTAAATCAGGGCTCAATATTAAGTGTAGTTTAAAGTGGAAAAGAACCTGTAGTTACGCAGTTCCTTAAAAGAGAGGTTATTTTTCTTTCCTTGGAGAAGGTTACAGCCACATGTAAAAGGTCCTACTCAATCATATTAGGAATCCTCAGATCACAAGTTACCTTTTATGCTACTAAAGGAAAAACAGGTTGTGTGAATAGCAGCTAGAAGGTGCTTTTTACTTCTAGGGAAAATTAGAACTTTCAAAAATACAGACAGGTATGTGTACAGGCGCTTTTAACTGATTCAGATGGATTGATTCAGTCACTAAAATGGGACCTACACACGCTGCAATCAATGCTACAAATATTAGGTGAGCTGGCACTGGGAGAAAAAAGGTTGCACGAAGTTGTATAACAGTAACATCTGAAAGAATTTCAAGAAATATTCCCCTATAAAAGTGTATAACCAAGACAGGTTTCTTATTGCACTGGAATTATAATCACATCATAAGACTGATTCATCAAAACTCTAGCTGGACTCTACTGAAATTAACGGTGCTAGAATGGAAATAACCACAAGGAACTCACCAACACATGCTTAGGGCAGCCATTCAACTCAGGTAGTTGCGTAGTCAGACATGCTAATGGGCCCAAAGCACAGATGATTGAATCTAGAAGTACTGACAAACTTCCTGAAACAGCCACCATTCCCTAGAAGCAAGCGAAGAAAAATTGGATAGGGATCAGTAGTGGAAATTACGGTTCTTTCACAACTGTACTGATTCTCAGGCAGATACAGTATCTTCACTGTTGAGCTCCTCTAGTCCACTTTCATTATTTACACAGTAACAAAACTACGCCATGTGCTTCACAGAAGAGACTGCTGACTCAAAACATGGAAGAATTCAGTATGCAACATACTGATGTAGGAAAAAAGCAGGGAACAACAGAAAAGGTCAGAAAGTTGTCAGTTGCATAAAACACTTAATTGCACATTTTTTGGTAATGTAATTTCTTTGCCATTTCATACCATTTATTTTGTTAACTACAAGAGTCCTAAAGACAATAGTTCTTTTATTATTGAAGTCTAAACAAATGCTAAGTCTGTAACGAATGCTTTAGTCATTGATACACTTTCAGAAAAGGGAATTTGTTTGTGTGCCTTTCTGTAAAAGGGGAGTCCAGTTGTTCCTCTGAAGAATGACCTCAATCAGTCATACCAGAAATAAAATGCAAGAACATTTATTTTACTGCTGGTAAAACAAGCAAGCATAGTGGGATGAGATGATCACACTAGCCATAACATTCAACGATATTGTTTGAGCCAAATATATGTTCTCCTTACAGGCTGGGCCGAGTTCTGAAAGTGTGTGTCTATATGTGCATGCATAGAATCACTATCATCTAACAGTAGGAAACCATTAAAATATGACATCTTCTACATTACCAACTAAGGTGAAACAATAGTAGCCCCTATCCAAAGCACTGGCAATATGATACTGCCAGAAAACAACAGGACATGCAAGACACATCTTGGTAAAGGCTGGTGTTTTTTTAAGAAGGCTTGAGACAGTAACAGAAACTGAACCAGATCCAAGATGAACATATAGGAAGAACAGACTGAGGAGTTTGCTGACCTAAGAATTGCCTTCAAGGACCCAGAGCTGCAAAGGACCCGTCTTTCTTTGATGCCTACCGTTTACTGAGAAACAAGGCTTTTTGTTTCACCAAAACCAAACAGCAACGCATCAAAGAAACACAACGTGCCATCTCTAATTTCTCTTCCTAACAGAAAAGCATTGGTTAAACTTTTAAGTAAAATAAAATAATGATCTCCCCTGAATCCTGTGTGTAGATTACGTAACATCACTATGACATCGCTGGTTACAGACTCACCTCTGTTTCCTGCAGTCTGTGTCCGATGAGGCTCAGAGATTCCCCCAGCAACTGTAAGTGTGCAGCTACATCGATAGGATCTGTCTCAGGGACTTTGGCTGGTGAGGAAGACACCACCACAGTGCTGGTGGGAGATTTCTTATGAGGGGAAATCACTCCTGTTGGAGAAGCTGGAAACACAAATTAAAATTCTGTATTCTCTTCTTTCACTCTTTTACTTATGAGTCTATTTACTCAGTAAAGTTTGTATCTCAAAGGCATGGGATGCTTAAATAGTTCTGTGGACCTGGTCCTGTGGTCTTTGGAGTCAAAACTTTCCTTCTACATGTACCAAGTATCTAGCTCAGCTGAATGCAATTTGGGACATTTGGTTTGGGACAGAGAAGCCAAGCTTTTTCCTCTTTTTCCTCTAGCGGTAAACTAATCCCACTAGAACTTCCCTGCTGCCTCTTCTTATTTTACATTTCAATCCCTAAACTGCTAAAACCAATACTATTCTACGAATTAGACACGTAAATCTTTTTGAAAAATGCTGGCATCACTCTCGCTCTCAGAGAAAAATTGTTTTTGAGTAATATGATGATTTAAATGTCAAGCCTTGTGAGAAAGCAGGTAGGGGTGTGAAGCAGGAAAGGTCTTTTGTTCTTTATTCAACCCGCAACACTACCTCTCCTGTTCAAGAAAAAGACCAGAGCAAATAAAGTGCAACAATTACCTTTTATTTTTGGGGCACCATCTGAAGACGATGCCTTTCTCTTCACAGTGGTGGCCTCTGCTTTATTCTGCTTGTGTTGGAGATACTGAGCTTTCTGTTTCCAGATCTGCAGTTACCATGGTATGAAAAGAGAGATTCATAACATTAGGTAATTCTGTTACCTGATGCCAGGACCTGGAGGCAGAATGATGTTACGTAGCTAACTGCTGAAGCAATATGATGAGAAGAAAATGATGACTGCAAGGGCAAGGTTTCTATACTTTCCACCTTTACATACTTTGGGGCATAGGTAGCATTTTTCAAGGTATGGTGGCAATGCTGCCAGCATGTTCTGACCTAAGCACCTAGTCTACAGAGATCATTTTACAAAAACACCTCACACACACTTACCAGTTTATCCTTCTCTGGTAGTTGCTTCCACACTTCTGCCAGTTTTTTACTTAGCTCTCCAAAATCTGGCAGAAGGAAAGAAGGAAAATGCTCAAAACAAACGAAATGATAAAATCATGGAGAGAACATGGGAAATTTGCTGGCCCGTGCATACACGTTTAGGAAGCAATCCACTCCACAACTGGAACTCTCCACACTGTCCCGAAAATGATTGCCAGTATGCATTCCCATTACTGTTTAAAATGAAAAAAACCTGATACCTGGAATATAAAGTCACAAATCTATATACAGGAAAGTGGCACAATGAAGGTAACTCTTAAAGTAAAGAAAGAAGGAGCTAGCAATTTCTTTATCTAGATTCACAGTTTGGTTAAAATGCAATGAAATCAAAACATGAAATACACTCCTTCTGCCACCTCTTATTCAACGAAAATTGGCAGAATTCTTTGCATTTTGTCAAAATTAAGACGTTGGTATGAAACAGCTAACTAATCTGACTGGTGTATAATCAAGAGAAGAAAAGGCCAGATCATTCTCTCACCTATTCCAGGGTGCTCAGACACAATATTTGTACGATATTCCTTACAGAACACTTGATAGGCAGACATGTTTTTCTTCTTTGGCTAGTCAGAAGAAGAAAAGGAAACAAAGATTTTTAATTATGATAAGACCTACATTTAGTAAGAATTTGGCATTTATTGAAGACTTAAAGACAGACATGGTGCTTAGATTAGGAACCTAAAAAAGCAGTGTTTTACATGTTCTGGCTGCATTTAGTGTGTATGAAAGCACAGGAACCAAACAGAACCAGTCTTAGTATAAGGCTTATCTTGCAACAACTCTATCAATGCATTTCTTTCATAAGTTACAACAACCTGCTATTCTAAATCCAGGATCAACATACAACTCAGTTAATATATCTCAGTTTTAAAACTTAAAATAATAAAAATCAAGTATCTGTCATACTATTGACAGTACCTATTATAGATCTGTCAAAACAATTCAGTCCTCATCATAATGTTTTATTCTGTTCCTTGCATCCTTACATAACACTTCAAATTGGCAGGAAAACAGACAGTGTAAGTACATTGACAGCAGAGACATAAGCAGTTACTGAGCTATGATCACAGAAAACTTACCAAACAGAACAGAATAATGGTTGAACAAATTTGGGCTACATCTGCCCATTTCCTAACACAAAGCAACTCTTGCCCATCTGAACATATAGACACTTCTTTTCCCCATTTACATACTTACACAGCTACAGTTATATCACCTGTAAACTCATTCATATGCTAGTAACCATTTCTCCTACTCATATTTTTATACACTAATCATGGAAAACTGAATTTAGGAGTACAGGACAAAACTGGAAATGTGGTAGTCAGCAAGAATAAGAATTTAATTTGAATACAGGAGCAAATGGGTAAAGATCTTCACTTTTTGGGTTACATCTTAAAACAGTTTTACAGGAATCACGGAATCACGGAATTTTCAGAGTTGGAAGGGACCTCTAGAGATCAGCTAGTCCAACTCCCCTGCTAAAGCAGGATTGCCTAGAGCACATTACTCAGGACTGCATCCAGGTAGGTCTTGAAAATCTCCAGAGAAGGGGATTCCACAACCTCCCTGGGCAGCCTGTTCCGGTGTTGTCACCCGAACTGTAAAGCAGTTTTTCCATGTATTTGAACGGAACTTCCTATGTTCCAACTTGTGCCCATTACCCCTCATCCTGTCACTGGGAACCACTGAAAAGAGACTGGCTCCATCCTCCTTCAACCCACCCTGTAGATACTTGTATGCAATAAGGTCTCCCCTCAGCCTTCCCTTCTCCAGGCTAAAGACTCCCAGCTCTCTCAGTCTTTCCTCATAAGGGAGATGCTCCAATCCCTCAATCATCTTAGTTGCCCTAT